TCTCGCCAGTAAAATCCCACATACCAATGCCCATGCCGGGGACTACCTAGATGGAAATTTCCCTAATTCCTTCTATCTTGCACCAACTGAGCGCACGGAAGTCATTGAGATCATAAAGTCACTTAAAAATAACTCGGGGAATCTGTCTCATGTCCCACCATTACTGTACAAGCGAGCGGCCCATGTCCTTTCGCATGCTATTTCATTACTTTTTAACAAGTCAATAGAGACTAACACCTTCCCGAAACTACTCAAGATGGCAAGGGTTACACCAATACATAAAGGTGGTGACCCTACAGACTTAAACAACTATAGGCCAATATCTAACTTACCATTGCTATCCAAAATCTTTGAGAAACTCGTGCACAGGAGACTGTATGCATTTATAACGGCTCAAAACATACTCAACCCCTGCCAGTTTGGATTCAGGAAAAATAAAAGCACTAATGATGCAATCATAAAAATGCTAGATCTGCTTTACACAGCATTGGAAAATAAGGAATATCCACTAGGAATTTTTATTGACCTAAGAAAAGCTTTTGACACAGTAGACCACGAACGTGATCACTACGGTATAAGAGGCCATGTGCTTGCTTATTTCAAATCTTACATTACTAATAGGTATCAGTACGTCACCATTAAAGACACAGCATCAGCAACACGGCCACTTGATACTGGAGTTCCGCAGGGAAGTGTCCTTGGTCCCCTGCTCTTCCTCATATACATCAATGACCTTCCAAACGTATCCCAACACCTGAAACCCATTCTCTTTGCTGATGACACGACTTATGTCATCTCTCACCCTAATCTTGCCACCCTCAACACCATTGTGAATGAGGAGCTGATTAAAATATCGACCTGGATGACAGCCAATAAACTTACGCTTAACACTAACAAAACCTACTATATTATGTTTGGTAGCAGAGCAGGAGATGCACAAATTAACATTAAGATTGACAACAGTCTAATTACCAGAAATAATGGGGGAAAATTCCTAGGCTTATACCTTGACAACAACCTGAATTTCAGCACCCATATCCAGCATATAGCCAAAAAAGTATCCAAAATGGTTGGGATCCTCTCCAAGATACGATACTACGTGCCGCAAAATGCCCTTCTCACACTATACCACTCACTTATTTATCCATACCTCACCTATGCTATTTGTGCTTGGGGATCAACTGCAGCAACACACCTAAAGCCAATAATAACCCAACAAAAAGCTGCAGTAAGAATAATCACTAAATCCCATCCCTGGCAACACACCCCCCCACTCTTCATAGATCTAAACTTACTCCCAGTTCAGTACATCCACACTTACTACTGTGCAATCTACATCTACAGGGCCTTAAACTCTAATATCAACCTTGACCTAAAACATTTTCTTAATAGTTGTGACAGAACCCACAGGCATAACACCAGACACAAACATCTCTACGACATTCCCCGTGTCCGACTAAACCTTTACAAAAATTCAGTGTATGTCAAAGGCCCTAAAATCTGGAATACCCTACCTGAGAACTCTAGAACTGCAGACACATTCATCACCTTCAAAACTACCATTAGAAAACATCTTATCTCCCTGATACACCCCGTCAACTAACTACACGAATACCACCTGGTGGTTCACACTTACACTCACTCATTTGACCATAAACAGAAATATTAATCTCAGTCTTAAAATAATGAATCCTGTGATACTCCAATACTGAAACTATGTACTGTGCCAAAACAAAAGCATTCACATTGCTAAACTCACAAACTAGTATTTAGTCACTTAGCCATAATACCAACTTACCTCATAATTTGTAATATTTTACAATTAAGAATAAAACTAAGTATGCCCGAAATGCCTAGCCATGCTAAGCGTTCTAGTGGTACACTCTGTAATCACAATTTTACTATATGTAAACCAAAAAATAACCAAATATCTGTAAACTCAGCATTGTAATCCTTATAGAGAATAAACTTTGAATTTTAATTTTGAATTTTGAAAAGGGAGACTACTATGGGAGGAAATTGTTAAGGTCACAAGGCACGATAATGTAATAATTCTAGGAGACTTTAACTTTAGTCATATTGATTGGAATTTCTTGACTGGGAATTTAGAATCATACTTCTTAGAAGTAGTTCAGGATTGTTTTTTGAAGCAGTTTGTGACAGAACCTACAAGGGGAAATAACCTGCTTGACTTAGTTCTGGCAAACAATGAATCCCTTGTTTATAATTTAGAAATTTCAGAGGAACTCGGTGCTAGCGACCACAAATCAATTACATTTAGCAGTGAATGAAAGTATGATAGAAGGGATAACTCAGTAACAGTCCCAGATTTTCGCTTAGCAGATTACGAGGGGTTTATCTGTTGACTGGAGTAATGAAGAGAGCTATCAATATGACAGTTTTCTGAACACTATACATGCTGCTCAAAGAACGTTTATCCCGTATAAAGAAATTAGATCAAATAGAAATGACCCAAAATGGATGAATAATAGGCTGAAATATCTACTAAGGCATAAGAAGGGAATTTATAGGCGTATCAAAAGAGGTGAGGGTCATCTTATGAATCAGTATATTGACATTACGAGGGACATTAAAAAGGGGATAAGAAAAGCTAAAAGGGACTATGAAATTAAAGGTGCTAGAGATTTGAAAACTAACCCAAAAAGTTTTTTCCAGGTCTATAGAACAAAAGTTAAAGATAAGATAGGCCCCCTTAAAAATAACTATGGGCATCTTACTGACAGAGAGAATGAAATGTGTTCGATTTTAAATAATTATTTTCTCTCGGTTTTTACACAGGAAGACACTAACAATATTCCAGTAATTAATTTTTATAGTGGGCGTGAAGAAGATAAATGTAACATCACAGTCACTCGTGAAATGGTTGTGAAGCAGATAGACAGACTGAAGCAAAATAAGTCACCGGATCCTGATGAGCTTTTTTCAAGGGTTCTTAAGGAATGCAAAATGGAACTCTGTGAACTGTTAACTAATATTTTTAATTTATCTCTTCAAACAGGTGTAGTGTCTGATATGTGGAAGATGGCTAATGTAATTCCTATTTTTAAAGCAGGGGACAAGTCATTACTGTCAAATTACCGCCGAATAAGCTTGACCTCAATTGTAGGCAAATTACTAGAGTCAATCATAGCTGAGATTATAAGAAGCCATCTCGATAAGCATAGCTTGATTAATGATACTCAGCATGGTTTCACGAGAGGCCGTTCTTGTCTAACTAATTTATTAACTTTCTTCAGTAAAGCTTTTGAGGCTGTTGATCACGATAAAGAATTTGATATTATTTAGATTTTAGTAAGGCTTTTGATTGAGTTCCTCACCAAAGAAAGTGGCAGCTCATGGCATTGGAGGAAAAGTGCTCTCGTGGATCGAGTCATGGCTCACAGACAGGAAGCAGAGAGAGTCCATAAATGGAGTTAAATCTGAGTGGGGATCTGTAACAAGTGGCGCTCCACAGGGATCAGTCTTGGGCCCATTGTTGTTTATAATATATATCAATGATCTTGATGAGGGAATTACTAGTGAAATGAGCAAATTTGCCGATGACACAAAGATAGATAGGATAATTGATTCAAACGTAGATATCAGGGAACTTCAGGAGGATTTAGACAAACTCAATACCTGGTCAGCAAAGTGGCAGATGCAGTTCAATGTAGATAAATGCAAGGTTCTGAAGCTCGGGAGTGTCCATAACCCTAGTACTTATAAGTTAAATAATGTAGAACTTAGCCATACAGATTGTGAAAGAGACTTGGGGGTTATGGTGAGCAGTAACCTTAAGCCAAGACAGCTTTGCCTAAGCATACATAATAGGGCAAATAGATTACTGGGATTTATATCAAGAAGCGTAAGCAACAGAAGTCCAGAGGTTATACTGCAGCTTTATACATCATTAGTAAGGCCTCACCATATTACAGAATGGACATAAATTCGTTAGAAAACATTCAGCGTAGAATGACTAAATTAATACATAGAAATCTTCCTTATGAAGAAAGATTGAAGACTCTTAAATTACATTCACTTGTTAGACGAAGAATGGGGGGAGACATGATCCAAGTGTATAAGTGGAAGATAGGTATTAATAAAGGGGATATTAATAAGGTCTTGAGGATATCTCTCCAAGAGAGAACCCGCAGTAATGGATTTAAATTAGACAAGTTTAGATTTAGAAAGGACATAGGAAAGTATTGGTTTGGAAATAGAGTAGTTGATGAGTTGAACAGTCTACCTAGTTGGGTTATTGAGGCTAAGACTTTAGGTAGCTTCAAATTTAGGTTGGATAAATATATGAGTGGGAGGGGTTGGATTTGAGTGGGACTTGCAATTAAGTGGATAGAGTTATCAGACCTTATTTCTTGGGGAGCATTGAAAATTGGGTTGGGCAAATGTTTTGTTAGTGGGATGGATTGTATAGGACCTGCCTAGTATGGGCCAACAGGCCTACTACAATGTTCCTCCTTTCTTATGTTCTTAAATGTTCATTTATACATTTTATTTGTGCTTTACATTTATTTGGCATTCTTTTTTGCATGTAAATCTATATTCAAGCTAGGGCAGTGACCCCTGAAGTGACCTAGAGTCCTTATGGAGGGGGATTCCCCTTCCAAACAATAACCTCTCTCCTCCCTGTCTTCCATTCATCATCAACAGCCTTCAGTAAAGGTAACTGTCATGTTGAATGTTCATTCTTTTATGCATGTAAATCTGTAAGGTAAAAAAAAGAACTTGATACTTCTGGGTGTCTGGAACAAATTAATTGGATTTATATTATTTCTTATGGGGAAAATGGATTCGAAAATCGCCAATTTCAATAATAGTCACACTTCCAGGAACGGATTAATTATGAAAAAGAGGGACCACTGTAATATATTTCCTTACTCTCCTTTCCTCATGTTATTACTAATCATATGGACCACATACTAATGGAAAGGTTAACAAGGCCTCTGCAGAAAATATTTGAAGATTTGTAAAAATATTATCTAAAGAAATGTAGACATTTAAACTAATATACTGATGATTTTACCTCTTATGGAGAAATTGATATTACCACGTGCTGTGCCTAGAATGTTGGTCAATTCACAGACATAGGTTCCAACATCCTCTGTTTCAGTCTCTTTGATCAACAGGTATCGGCTGTTCTCTACTAACACGTAGCGACCATCATTTATTAAGGGTTTACCATTCTTGCTCCAGGTTATCCTTGGTGTGGGAAGCCCAGTGCCCTGTTTAATAATTTTAAAAATATAAATACTCAATTGTATTTTTGGCTTCAAAAATCAGAATGAGTAAATTATACACTGGCATAAACCTTGATTTATGTAGTGTATATTACTGTCCATGACCCTAGAGTACATCTTTCACTGAACATTCTACTGACTTTGGTATCCTTAAAAAATATAGTTACCCTACTCTTTGTATTTCTTTTGTCACTTAGTCGTTCCTCTGCCTTATGTCTGTTTACTTATATTTTCCCACTTAAAATCTATGGTGAAACAATCTGTAGTCTTTCCAAACTTTTTAAAAACAAGACACAGCAAATGTTTCATTTAAGTTAGCCATATCAACAGGTGAAAATTAAATAAGTCTACAACACAAACAGCTAAAATGTCTGAGACTTTACACCCTCAACAATGCTTCATAGATCCATACATTTTTTTTAATTTAATTCAAACAACGCTCATAATGCTTACCAGACATTCAAGAAGAGCATTATCTCCAAGTCGAGCAACTTCATCTTGTAATGGTTTGATGAATTCTGGTATCTGTCGTACTGTTACAGAAGCATGCGCAGAAGCCGTACCTGCTGCATTAGTGGCCTTGCATGTATACTGACCCTCATCATGAGGTTGTACTGGCTTAATGAAGAAGATAGTTTCATTTGAGAAAACATGAATTCGTCGCTCCCTAGCTGCTGGAAAATCATCTCCTCCATCTTTTAAGAGGGAGATTTCAGGAGTTGGAGAACCTTTAGCAACACATTCCAGTTTGGCCACTTCTCCCATACGTACAGCCACACTAGTTGGTGTCTTGGTGAAGTAAGGAAAAACGTGAACTTGAATGTTAGCACATTGAGAGTAACTAGCTCCATAGTGATTCCGTACAAAGCATTGGTATTCACCACGGTCTTGATCAGAAACATTATGCAAATGAAGCAAAGAAGTTACATTGTGTATGGTTCCACCTTCACCATCACCTCCAACCACACTGATTCGAATTTCAGGCTCAAAATCAACCAACAACTGATTGTCCTTCCTCCACATGAACTTTGGTTGGTCCCCATCTGTACCAGCTTGAGCAACACAAGTAAGTGTTACATTAGCACCATGCAACACAATCTGATCCTTTGGAGACTGACTGATTATGGGACGAGGTGATGACTCGCAGCTGAAATCAGTACTCAAGAGGGATGATATAGGACGGTCTCGAAGGCCAGGTGGATAATTGCAAGAGATTGTAATAGAGGAGGAGGCATTAAATGTGATAGATGACAACCATCCTGGCAGCCATAATAGGTGACAATCACACACAAGGCTAGATGTGTTCAGCTGTGCTGAATTTAAGTGTTTCAGACCTAAGAAAGGGTTATGAGGTAGGGTACGAAGCTGATTTCCTCGTAGATCAAGAGATGTGAGAGACACCAGTGGAACAAAAGTTTCAACATGCACAGTTTCAATAACATTATAGGCCAGTGACAGTGTCTTTAGGTTATCCAGTTTGCTAAATGCTCCATTATTGTCCTCTAGACTCCAACGTAGCTCATTATGGCCAAGATCCCTGAAATAATTGAAAATTTGTGTAAACAATTTGTAATTTAAATATATAATACAGTATATTCAATAAAATTAAAAATGTAAATGGCAAAATTGTCATGAGTACTAGACAAAACTAAACTTGAAGCACAACTCACAGAGTGATAAGACTGGAGGTAGACTCAAATGAATCCTGTTCTATATGTGCAAGGTGGTTGTGCGAGAGCATAAAAGTCATGAGAGAACCTAAGCCCCTGAATGTTCCTTCCCTCAGTGACACCAAACGATTATGACTAAGCTCCCTGTAAAAAATTAAGAAACATATAAAAGCTTTTCATAAAATTAATAGCCAGCATTTAAAATAATAAAGCCAAAACAAATAATAAATATAATTTTGAAATATTAACCTTTCTTTACATGAACGAGTTTAATTACGACTGTTTCATGAGAGAGCAATTTCTAGAAAGGCAATATGGCTATCTATTAATATAATTACTGTACTTGCAATTCACTGAATACTTTCTTTGCAACATTCTCCTAACAGTACAGCCTTATGCTGCTTAACACTGGTATTCACCACTATCTTGATCAGAAACATTATGCAAATGAAGCAAAGAAGTTACATTGTGAGGGGTTCGGTATGGCTACTTCCCATCACCTTCAAACCACACTGATTCAAATTTTAGGCTAAAAATCAACCAAAAACTGATTGCCCTTCCTCCCAATGAACTTTGGTTGGGTCCCCTTTCTGTCCAGCCTGAGCAACAAAATGTTACATTAGCACTTAAGCGCCCTGTTAAGCAGGGCAACTTTAAACCCCTTTAAAAAACGGCAAACTAATCTACGTTCACGTGCGTAGCGCTCTGCCCTTTGTTCCCCCCTTTTGAAAGCATGAAAAAAAAAAAACTAGATCTACTTTTCGACCCTCCACACGGAACTAATCTACATTTGGACGTTTTAAGGTTAAAAAGCACTTTTTCCCATTAAACATTGTTATGCTACAGAAAAATTACTAGCCCAAAAAATTTTTACAATTTACATCTTACACAACAGGGTTTGATACTGTATTAAATTATTAAAAATTGCACTGTATAAAGTGTAGAACACATATGTATGGTGAAAGAGACAAAGCATTGCAAAACCTAAGACAAAATTTGGCTGGGTTGTCTGCGCTGAAAAAAAAAAAATAAAAGGGAAAAAATTTCCCAAAAGACCACCTTACACTTTTTTTTTGAAAAATAATAAATCCAAAACACACTGCAAAATTTTTTCCAGAGTCAAGATACAAGTTATAAAGAAATAATGAAAAACCTAAGAAAATTCCCTGCACGGGTTTGATATGAAAGAGAATTCCTTATATACATTAGAAAACCATAGGTTTTTTTATACATTATTTTTCCCTGATACGGGAGAGATTTCGGGGGTCAACGCCCCCGGGGCCCGGGTCTGTGACCGGGCCTCCGGTGGATCAGCGCCTGATAAACCAGGCTGTTCTGCGGGTTTGCACGCAAACCAATGTACGAGCCACAGCCCGGCTGATCAGGAACTGACTTTAGGTGCTTTCCAGTCCCAGCTTGAAACTCCCGGGGGTCGTTGGTAATCCCCCTTATTGTGCTGGGAGGCAGTTGAACATCTGGGGCCCCGACACTTATTGTAGGGGCCCTTTTAAACGTGTAGTGACACCCCTCTTTCATGGGGGGATGGTGCATCGCTGCCAAGTCTTTTTTTTCGTATGAGAAATTTTTCGTGTGCAAGTTGGGTACTATCCCTCTAGATTTTCCGGGTGTATAAATCGTACTCTCCCTCCTGCTTCCCGGGAAAATCAGGTTTGAAACCTAAAGCGCCCCCGTAATTGAGGTTTTTTAAATCTCTGTTATGCCAAACCCATACAAATACACACACCTAGGGGGATGGGAAATATTGGGGTTTTAATTCAGGAATTGGACAGGGAGGGGGAAATCCCTAGATCAAGAGCCCCTCCCCACATAAAGGGAACCTTCCTTGAGGGGATTTTTTGGTACAGGCTGTACTATAACAAAAAGAATTAAAACCACATTTCTAATATGTACAAATTTTTTTCATGAATGAATGGAACTTTTGAAATGGGACCAAGATGACCTAAACTGGGTTGCCTAATTAAATTTACAAAATTTTATTTTGAGTCCCCTTAAAAGACTCACTAAAAAAAAAAAGAAAATTGGATATCACAACAGACCCATAAAACTTACTTTTATACCACATATCACATTTACTTTTTTTTCCTTTAACCCTTAGGGGAAACTCAGTCCTATATTTACAATAAGTAAAATACACTAAGCATTTTTAAAATTTTGCTGCATGAAAGGAAATTTCTTCGTAAGAAGTGCAAGTTGATCACACTATTCTTTACAAGCACTTACATAAAAACATTTTGTTTTGTAGACTCCCAACTTGGGGTCGATGAGTCAATCGGTTGAAACTGAGAGACAAATGCGCAAGTGACCCAGGCCAAAAAACCCATCCCCCATACACTGTTTTTGTTGTTGTTCCAAAAATCTATAAAAAAAAAGCAAGTTAAAAAATTTTCCCATGAAGTAATAAAAATTGCAGGTCTAATCATGTATACACTGCATTGAAATACTTGATTCTCACAAAGGAAATTAATTTAAAAAAAAAGGGCCCAAATCCCGGCGGGAACGATACACAAAAACCCGCACATAAAAGAGAAAGCTTACGACGACTTTTTGGGTCCACTTGGACCATTGCAAAGTCCACGATTTTGTCAATGGCCAATGGGACCGAAACGTCGTCGTAAGCTTCTCTCTTTTATGTGTGGGTTATTTGTGTATGGAATTATATTCATGATGTTTACAGTTATATTTGAGAAACTCCTTCTATTGGATATGGGACACCATACTTAAGGAATTAATATGGAAAGCTGGCCAAGAAAAAAGTGACCAGATAATGCATATACCAAGATACAGGAAAGCCCATATTTAAAAAAAAATTATAAAAAAATATAAATGGAAAAGAATAAACAGAGTAGACAATTTTGTCAACCTAAAATAATATATTAGAGAAGCAAACTGTAATTTAATTAGGAATGGATACAGTACTGGAATAAAACAAAAACAGGGGAACCTCGACTTACGAGTGCCCCAACTACATTTTTTAAAGATACGACCGTCACTAGGTCAATTATCTCTCTGATCATGAGCCAAAATCTGAGTTACACGCCCTTCAAGGGGGGGCTTTTTGGCGTGGTGAAGGGGCCTGCTGAGAATTAACCTTCAGTTTTTCCCCCTCAGCCCAAAACCTAAACCCCCCAATCCCCCCTTCCATCCCGTCCCCCCTCCCCCCCCTTTTTTCCTTCCTCCTCCCCCTCCTCCCCCACCCCCCCCTTTGCCCTTCCTCTTTTTGGCCTTTTGGGATTTCTCCCACAGGCGCGCTAGTTCCTGGGTAGGGAAAGGATACCGGGGTCCATCCCTTCTGTGAGGCTTGGGGGTGGCGTAGTTGCCGTGGAATCTGGATGACCTGGGATGTCCCATCCCTCCCGTATCCCGGGAGTAGTTTTGGGGTTCTTTCGGTGACGGGGTATCTCTGGAAGCCCCCTTTCGGATTCCGAACGTGGTGGCCGAAGGAGGTATGTTTTGGGGGCGGATACCCGGGGGCCGCCCTCTCTTTGCCCCCGGGTACCCGGGCAGATTTGAGGTTGCTATCCCAGATTGTTAGTTTACTAAAGGGGGGTAGGGTATGCAGGGGTTCCATGCTGATTTTGGCTACTTGGGGTGCTTAGGTCCTTTTGGGGCCGGAGGAGATTTCTGGCCCTTTCATTCCCCTAGGAACTATCCCTCCCTGCCCCCCCCCTTTTTTTTATTTTTTTTTTTATTTTTATTTTTTTTTCTTTTTCTTTTTTTCTTAAAAAAAAAAAGAAAGAAGTAATGGCAGCCCTAGTCCATGAACCTACAACCCCCGGGGCCCCTCTTGATACCGCACCCCTTTCGCCCCCGCCTATCTTTGGACCACTCTTCAGACACCCCCTCTGCCTCTGTACCTCTTCCCGGGTGCTTTTTTCCCACCCCTTCGGGACTGAGGCCCGACGTCTTCAAATTTATGACCTTTCGCTCTCCTCTGACTATGTTTTCCGGGCCCTCCCTCTACGGTGCAGCAATTTTCAAATCGCCGACCCTTCCACGTCGGACGAACTCGGTCCCATGCCAAACCCCAAACACAATTACCTGCTGTAATTTCTCCCACCTTCTCGTTTTTCTCAGAAACATCGAAAACGCCCTTTCACTCCCTTTTCCACCTCTTTTTGGGACTGAACATGGACTAAATTCTTCATTTTAAACGACCGACTTCCTCACTGCCTACCTTCTGATCACATTTTGGGCAAGGCACTCCACGCCATTTGGTAAAGAGTTTCTTTTCATGCTCTTAAGACGGTACTGCCACACCATACAGAATGCTACCCAGGCTCATGACTCTCTCGTTTTTTTCCCATATCGATACTGTTCCTGTCACTCTTAAAAAACATCATTCCCTTCAATTTTGTAGGGGGTACCGTCTTCTGCCCCCAAAAAACCATAGTTCAACAAAATTTCCAGACATTGGCACGACATTCTTGAACAGCCGAACTCCAAGATCTCCCCCAAACCTCAAAGGGAGACACTTACTTCTTTGCCCCGGGTGGAGCGAACCCTAGCAATGTGGCTCATTAACTTTTTGACACCGTGAACTCCCACCTCAGTTTATATAGAGGACTTGGTTACAATTCGAAAAGGGGACCCTACACCACAAAATGAGAACTTGCGGCGATTTGGGCCCTCCAGCGAAATATTGCAGATCTATCGCCGAATGCCCAGTCTATGGTGCCGATGACCATTTTAATACGTCTTCAATCGATCTCCCCCTTGCCTTAACTGTCATGAGGCTCACCCCGTCTCTCCCTTTCATCTATTTAAACGAGCGAGAAATCCGTTTCCTCAAAAGACAGAAGGTCCCCTTATGCCCCTGGCATTTCTCACTCCGCCTCCCAAAGGGGGACTCCCACGTTTTTTTTTATTCCCGTGTTTTTAAAATGTCCCCCCACTTCTGGTACCCCCTTCTAAAAACCCACCTCTTTGGTTACCTTTCCCATAGTCATCCTGACCCAATCCTTTTTCTTCCTCACTCAATGTCCCTATTCAACGCCTCAGTCTGACTCGCTTCTTTTGTGTTCCTCTCACAACCTCAGTATGACGAACCTCGTACGACACCTCCTACCAATCGTCCCCCTACTTTTTCAAAAGTCAAAAAAAGGTCCGATAAACCTCCACCCATCTTCCTCCCTCATTTTTTCC